TCGAAAGAACATTTAAATTAAAAAAAATTATCCTAATAATATTCATCATTTTTAAAACTTATATTTTTTAAAAACTACTATTTAAATATATTCTTAATAATATTTATTTGACGTTCATAATTCAGCAATCATTAATTGATAAAGAATAAACATGTAACACTCATATCAATAGATTAATAGTTAGTGAAAGAGAAAGTAAAAAAAAAGAAATTAATTGTGAAAAAGAGTCAATTTGAATTAATAAAGAATAGTAAATAAATAAGAATGAATGGAGAAAAAAATGAAAGCCCTTTACAAATTAATTAAAAAGACAAAAAAAAATGAAAAAAGGAGCAAAAAAGACAAAAAAAAAGAAAAGAAATGAAAAAAGGAGCAAACAAAAAAAACAGGTGCTTGCAGCAAGGTTCGAACCCGCATTGGCTGTGTGGCAAGTGGCCTCCTTAACCAATTGAACTGTTCAGCATTTCAGTTATTGGGTGGCAAAGTTAATATATATTTAAGTTTTAGATATATATATGTACATATATATACAACGTTTTTTCCGAAATCACTGGGTGCCGTGGCACCGCCACCTAACCACGTAGATCCACCCCTGAGTATATCAATCACACATATCAAGTAGGTCATTCACACGTATCAAGTAGATTAATCACAAGTGTCCAGTAGATCAATCACAAGTATCAAAATGCATCAAATTACAATAATCAAACTCTTGTCGGAACCATTTTCCTTCGACACAATATCACTACCCAGAACCATTTCCCTTCGACTTTATATCATAACATTGTAAAAATGGTACTCCATAAATTTCAATAGTTAAAAAGGGTGGCATGTAAATCAAAATAAGTGAAGCCCACAGTGGGCAATGAAATTTATTTTGAAGGGCTAAAAACGTCTTTACAGTAGAGAAGGAAAACAAAGCTGCAACCAATGAAAAAAAAGAAAAGAAATTAGCTCAAAAGACTCAACTACCTTCAGCAGGCATTGACCTATGGTTTGCTTGAGATGGTGAAGCTCCCTTTTATAATAAAGTATAATATAATATAAAATATAATATAATAATAATAATAATAGATTTCAAAGCTACAAAAGAAAAAAAAAATGTATACTCCCTTTGTCCCATTATATAGGGAAAATGCATAGTACCCCCAACCTATTCCCGAAATCTCAGAGACACACTTATGCATTTTCCCCATTATATATGAGTAAGTTTGATTTAACACAAAATTTAAGGAAATTTTTTTTTTTAAAATTTATGGTCTAACATAAGTGATACTCTTTGTTCCTATTTATATGTCGTCTTTACTAAAAATAGATGGTCTTTAATATTTGTCATTTTACAAAATCAATGCATAAATAATATTATTCTTTCTATTTTACCCTTTGCTATTAACCTTGAAAGTATACATTTATCCAACATAAAAAAACTAAGTGATTAATTTATTTTTATTGGTCAAATTAGTTAATCAAAGTAAATTAATTTATGTTCATTTTTTGAAACCTTAACTTCAAGAGAACACAAAATAAGGGTACAATGACAAACTTACTTGGTTACTTAAGGGGTGTGAAACCTAAAACGGTGACAACTAAATAGAAATGGAGGGAGTAGATGTTTATGTGACTAAATCATTTCATTAAGGATAAAATGAACATTTTAAAGTTAAATTATCGCTAAATATAGAAATATGTTATATTTTTAGACCGACTAAAAAAGTAAATGAATCATATAAATTAGGGCAGAGGGAGCAAGGGCGGACCTAGGTGGAGCCTAGCTGAACCCCCTCGTCAAAAAATAACACTATGTACATAACGTCAAATTTGACTTTATGTGTATATATATTAAAATGAACCCCTTGAGAACAAAGGACAAACTTGGCCCAATGGATAAGTGGGTCATGTAATGCCCCTATGTCACGGGTTCAAGTCCCATTGGCAACATTTTTTCCCTTTTTTAATATTAGCTTTGGTAAATGGAACTTTTGGGCTTAGACCATCTCCAATCCACCTCTATTTTACTCTCCATTCTCTATATTTGGAGAGTAAAATAGAGAATGGACACTCCAACCAACCTCCAAATCACCCTCTATTCTTCAAATTTAGAGAGTTGAATAGTAGTTCTCCAAATTTGAAGAACTACTATTCACACTTTCTATTTCACTTTTTCATTAGTTTATTATTATTTCTATTACTTTATAATTAACATATTATTTTACATATAATTTCATTAATTAAATATCTAATATTCATAATTCTTTTTAAATGTAATATAATATTTTTAAAAAATTATTTAATATATACTACTTTAATTTCAAATTAATAGTATTTTTTAAAAAATTCTAATTTTCGTCATTAATTTTCATTATAAAGAATACACAAAATTAAAATGGCAAGATGAAAAATTTAATTTAAAAATGCAATACATAATATGATAATTTAAATACAAGATAACAATACAATATATAACATAATAATTTAAATACAAGATAACAATACAATACATAACATAATAATTTAAATACAAGATAAAATACAACACATAACATAATAATTAATTTATTACAACAATAATTTAGTAATCCGGTAGGTCGTTTCCAGATTTAGCAATATTCAGAAAAAAATTAGGATATGATTCTGAGAATTGTTGCGATTATGGTTGTGATTGTCGATTTCTTTTTTCAAGTATTCGTTGTTGTTCTCGTTGCAGGTAATCACGAACATTTAGATCACTAATAGTTTCTAAATTTTTCATTAAAATTTTATTTTCGTCTCTAAATTCCTTGGCTTTGATATATCTACATTTATTTTCCAATCTTGTTAGCGGTATTGCGCCTCCAGCCCATTATGTTATTCAAGGAAAAGAATATGTTATGGGTTATTACTTAGCTGACGGTATATATCCTAAATGGTCTACAATTGTTCAAACTATTCGTGATCCTTATTCCTAAAAGAAGAAATATTTCGCGATGAAACAAGAATCGTGCAGAAAAGATGTTGAACGTGCATTTGAAGTTTTGCAATCACGTTTTGCAATTATTGCAGGACCGTCACGTTTTTGGAGAAAGGAAGTGCTACATGATATAATTACTACATGTATTATACTGCACAACATGATAATTGAGGATGAACGTGATCTCAATGCACCAATTCAAGATGTCGTAGAGGCTCCAACTCCAACTATAGAAATGGTGGTAGATGAAAATCTCTGGTTTGAACAATTTTTAGCTAGACATAAAAAAATTAAGGACAAAAATGCTCATTTTGAACTTCGTAATGCATTAATAGAACATTGATGGGAGCAACGTAATAATTTTGAAAATTGAGTGTTTATGTAATTGTATGTCACTTTTATTTGAATTTGTCCATTAATTTATGTATTATATTATATTTTCTTGCAATTTAAGTTATTTAAAAATTTAGAATAAAATATAATTTTATATCACATTAAAAATTATATAAAGTAATTATTTGGGAAAAAAAAATAAAGGATTTATATTATGAAATAAGAAAATAAGAATGAAATGGAAATAATAATATAATATTGAGGAGAGAGAAAAAAATTCCTTTTTAGAGAGTAAAATAGAGAATTGGGTTGGAGTTGGTTGTCTGAAAAAATAGAGAACTCTATATTTGGAGAGTAAAATAGAGGATAGGGTTGGAGATGCCCTTAGACCTTCTTCTTCATTTTCATTATTTTTTCCTTTTATTCCATTTCTTCTTTTTAATTTATTTTTGTTTAAATTTATTATACACATTCTTTTTATTTTTATATTTTATTCCTTTTATATCTATTATTCATTTTGTTACAATATAACTCTTTTTTCATATACGTTTGAATAACTTTTTTTTAAAAATGATGAATTATATTTAACTTGAAATTGAGATAGAAATATAGTTTGTTTTTTTTTTAAATGTAAATTAGATGTAATTGAATGAAGAAACTTAAATATCGTCAACGTCCTTCTAAAAATATTAATTTAATAGAATTCTTGAAATTTCTTTTATATTTTTAATTCTATTTTAGTGAGATGAAAACTAAACTTATTTGATTTATTCGTTATTTAATTTTAAGAATGCTCGATGGAGCATGATAAAAGTAAAAAGAAATGTTTAATACGGTATGATAAAGTGAGTTCAATTTAGCATGACAAGGTAAATATCTTTCTTCCCCGTCTCGCTCCCCTTTTCATCATTTAATTTTCATGTGTTTTAGGAATTAACTTATGTAATACAGTCTATCCACTAAAATTCTTATCAATGCATCTTTGTCCTCGATATCTTTGATTAGCTTAGTCTTTACTTTTATGAACCAATGAAATATCTATGGTTCTTGTACAAAGAGCATGCCGAGGGGCTACTACGCTCACCGCACACTTGCATTACCACCTGAACTTCTTCTTTATACTTCGAACCCCCTGAGCAAAAATCCTGGGTCCGCCACTGAGAGGGAGTACTACATTTCAAATTGAAAATATGGCAATCATGATTAATTTGATAGGATATTTAATTTAGCTACTTTATTAAATAATTTACAAATTCTATTTGGAACTATATGAAATAGTGCACATATACCCTTGAGTCGTTTTTTACATTAAAAAATATCCCTTTGAGTTGGGGTTGCTCGCTATCACTTAATAAAATGTTTCTTTGATACTCCATATGTCCCTAATTACTTGTTTATTTTTTAAATGACACATCTATTAAGAAAACAATGAATGACATAGTGAGTTTACCATTTTACTCCTATTAATTATGAAGTGGGTGAATTAAAAACTTGAGATTTTTAAGAAGTTCTACCTTTTTTCATAGTAATTAATTGAGGATATAATAGGTAAAAATAATTTGTCCTTTCTTGATTTGTCAAAATAGACAAATAATTAGGGATAACTAAAAAAGGAAAAGTGGGCAGGTAATTAGGGACAGAGGGAGTATGTATTATAAGGAAATAGGAAGAGCACATGAACATATTAATTAAGAATTGACTAATAATAGAAGATGGAATTTCAACATACCTTTTGAGTAATTTGAAGTTGTAGCTCATAATTTCCCAAGCTTTCTTGCTCTTGTTGAATTTTCTTTGCACTATTTACTACACCAGAACTGCAATCAACTATTTGGATTAACTTTAGTGTCATTGTATCTCCAATACTCTCCGGAATCTCCTCCAGTTGAATAAACCAATGCAGTATTAGTTGCTCAAGCATCGGAAAATTATCACTACCATCTGCTTCCCACCTTTGAAAATCATAGGGCCCATACAGTTGTAGATATTTTAATTTATGAAACACAACATCTTCATCTACTTTCCAATCTGTTCCAGAAAATGCACGATACCCTTTGAGCACCTCAAGATTCGGTAAATTAGCCAGCAAATTCACAACTTCCCATGGTATACGAGTACGTGTTAATGTCAACTTCTTGAGATTAGGAAGAAAAATATCTCCTGGGATAATCACCGGGTCAATGTTGTTTCGTGTTTCTATGTGTAGTGTCTCCATATCCTGTAAAAGACTGAGAGAATCAAGAAAATCAGGAAGCTTGGATCTATCTAAAATCTTTAGCTTTTTTAGATTGGGAGTTCTTCTTATGATTTCCGCAACAAAAGGAGAATAATGAAGATAAAGCGTTTGCAAGTTATTCAGAAGGCACAAAGGTTGTTCTGCTTCAAGGGGATTTGATATATAATTTGGCCATCTAATATCCAAATGTCTTATCTCTGACATTCTCCAGATATCTAGTGACTGCTTCAACGTTGTTGGTATGAAAGAGATATATCTTCGAAGAACTATGGTCTGTAGATTTCTCAATTTGTCTAGTGAACTAGCTTCCTTAATTCTTACAGCAACATATCTCAAATGTACAAGCTCAGGTATTACCCAAGAGAAATCGTATTCAATTGATAATACATCCAATACCTTAAGCAACTTCAACTGTGAACACATCCATTTTGGAAAAGCTACATCCACTGAAATAAAGGTACGTATTATACCACTGCTATGTCGCAGACGATAATCATGCTTCTCTTCATCATTAGACACAAGGATCACTCGACGTTGATCATCTATGGCTTTGAGAGCATCCCCATTCATGACATGCAAAACATTTTCAGTATGAGCTTCACTTAGGCACAATTGGCGAAGAAGATCGTGAATTTTGCAACTTCTCATCCTTCCATTAGCCCTTTGTTGACCAATCAAAATTAGACTTCTATCAATTAACTCTTTTACATACTCCTCTGCTACCACTTCTAATCTTTTATTCTTTCTTGCCTTTACGAATTGCTCAGAAATCCATAGCCTAATCAACTTGGAAACGTTAATCTCTCTGTCTTCTGGAAAACCTCCAATATAGAGAAAACAAGCCTTCAAATATTGGGGCAAGTAATTGTAGCTCAGAGAAAGAATTGATTGGCACCGTTCGGACACCGTACCAAAGAATGAGTTCAGATTTTCCTCAACCTCCTTCCAATTATCATGTGTAGGGTCCATTTTTCAAAGAAGTCCAGCAACGACAATAATCGAGAGAGGTAATCCTTGACATTGTTCTACAATATGCTTCCCCATTTCTACAAGTAAAGGAGGACACGGATCTTTTTTGAATAATTTTTCGGTGAATAGATTCCAACTATCATCTTGACTTAGAAAAGACATACTATGAGGAGGAAAATCAGGGCAGTTTACATAATCAGCAACATACTTGAGCCGAGTAGTTAATAGAATTCGGCTTTTATTGTCATCATTTGGAAATATTCTTTGCATTTGGTCCCATGCCTCAGTACTCCAAATATCATCTATGACAAATAGGAATCTCCTACCCTTCAAACCTCTATACACAATCTCCATTAGTTCATCATCGCTCACTTCTTGATTGCTTCCCGTAATTGAAGAGACAACTTCAAGAAGCATTTGTCTCTTATTGTATTCTTGGGAGATAGTGACCCATGCATGTTTATCAAATCGAGAACGAATAGATGAATCATCATAAACTTTTCTTGCAAGAGTTGTCTTACCGATACCGCCCATACCAAAAATTGGTATGACAGTCAACTCGCCTATTTGGGAAGTGACGCGATCAAGTATGGTGTTGAGGTCATCCTGCATCCCAACAATAGTATTTTCCTCAATTTTACTTCTTTCTGGTGAGGAAGAAGTTGTTGCTAATTCTGCAGATTTGCTTCCATGCATACTAAACTCAATCAGCATCACTTGTTTTTTGAGAATATACACTTGTTCATCCACTTTCAACAATTCTTCATAAAAGGATGTACAAGCCTTTTGCCGCTTGTCCTCACGATCTGCTAGAATGATGTTTCTTAGACTTGAATCAACTCTATCTTCTGCTTTGTGTACTACATTTCTGATCCTCTTTTCTACCACCTTGAAATTGAAACTCGATAAATTAATTATTATTTTAAAAAATGTAATTACCCTTTTTTTAATGATGGGTTAATTGGTAATTTTAACCCTAATAATAATAATAATGAGAATTAAAAAGGTGTAGGCCAATCCTAATCTCTTGGTCTTTGTTGCTGCAGCAGAAGGTCATAGACAGAATTAACTGAATTTCTGTACCAATGACTGAAAGTAATGTTTTGGCAATTAGGACAATTAGCATGCTACGGATTTGGAGTTAGTTACTGAATTAGCTATTCATATCACCGCTACCATAAATTAGTTGCTGCCAAAAAAAATTCAGATTTCATCCAAAGTATTAATTAATAGATTGACCATCATTTAGGGACTGAAGTGTATAATTATTGGATAGATGATTCATTAGTTAAATTTAGACAGCTTGACTGGAATATTTTACCTTTAATTCATGGCTTGAAGTGTAAGATATTAAGGTTTAGCCCTAAGCTTAAAGTTTGGGATATTTAGACTTGACCTGACTAGCATTATTGATATCGTTAATCACTATTTTGCATAGATTGAGGCAAGTGGGGGCTGTTTTGGTTGGTGTTCTACACCCAACAGGTGGTGTTAGCGGGTGTCAGTCACGTCTAGGGGGTATTTTGAGATGTGACAAAAAATATATAAGATCAGTAAGATTTAGATAACTATACTAGTGAATTACATACCTTAAGAGTTTCAATATCCTTTGTAGTATCGTCAAGGAAATCTTGCAGAGCAGAAAGATTTTGATGGAGAGATTCGACATGTTGTTGTGTAGAACTTCGACAAACGAAAGATTGGTTAGGTTTGAAGAGTTGTTCCAATGTATACATGAGTGAAGAAAGAGCAGCATAAGCCATTTCTCTTAACAAAAGAATTATTGCAGTTTGCTGGAATAAAGATAGAGGCTTACAAGTTTAATGTCTCTGCTTTGTTATTATTAGGCTAAGAGGTTTTGTCCAAATGATTTACATTTTTTATTTCTACCTTTTTCTAAATGGGGGACAAAGACTTAGGATGCTCACCCTTTATAATTTATTTTCTAATTGGTAGGTCAACGCAATCAAATTGATTAAAGTCGTAATATATAAATGTGTGATTTAACTTGACCTCATTTCATATTTATGATCTCATTTCTAAATGCAATCGTTCATTTTCTATAACTTGTAGATTATTGATTTGGTTATAAAATTGCGATTCACATTTTTATCGTCAAACACAACTCCAATTTCTTAAATTCAAATAAAATTTAAAAATAATTAAAATAAATTAGGGCCTTAAATATAGAAAATTTGGGCATGATTAATTATTTTTCCTGTTATTTTGTTGTTATTGATGAATATTATATTACACTAGGTAATTTGTCCGCGCTTCGCGTGGTCATAAATAATAATTGCACTGAACTTGCAAATAATCCATTACTAATATCCATATATTAAAAATAATAGGAAAAATAGGTTCTTAAAAAAATATTAGCAATATTCCAACATGAATTTGATTATTTGTCATTATCACATAACTCAAGAACCTCTAATGAATGAATTATTGAGGAAATAATAAATTATTGGTTCTTTAATCAACATTAAAAGGAAAATAAAGAAGAAAATAAGAATATATATACAAAGACATTTCGTAAGAAAAAGAACACATTTAAGTTGAATAGATTATACAATTGTAATATATGTCTCAGGGGAAAATTCAAAAATTTGTTAACAGATTCAAAATAGAAATTACTCTTGAACATGAAAGCAATTATAACTTTTGAACTTGCATAATGAATTTCTTCAATGGATAAGTGAGAAACTTCATATCTATGTAAAAGTAGATAATATGTAAGCCTATATATAGTACTTTTAAGTTATAGAATTTTATATAGAACTAGTAAAATTACCCGTGCTTCGCGCGAAAATTTATTATTACGAAATTTATAAAATAATACTTAAAACATATCAGTCATTAGAACTAAAACACTATATTATCTTACATACAAGATTACGTAGTAATAAACATTAATAATGTAAAGGACAATGAAAAATATTACATCTTATCATTTATCCTCAATAACATAAGCATAAAGTAATTATTGTAAAAATACATACCAAGATCTGTATATGGAGGG